TGTTTCGAGAAGTTGCACTTCATTTGTTGGCCCCCTTTCAATAGCAGTCTTGTTTTTCTTGAGCGGCGACATACTGTTCGGCGCAATCTTTGCATAGCGTTGAAATAGTGGTGCATGTTCTGACAAGAAGGTGATATCTGGTGCACTTTTCCATGAGAAAGTTGGTGACACGTGGAGCAGCTTGATCAAATTCCTGTCACCCTTCTCCTCCATGTACTTTGGCAAGGGTTCCATCAAAGTCTGTCCCTCCTATGCTAGGGTCAGCGGATAGGCGAAAGTGAGGTTGCTTCAACATGGCCATTTTGGCCACTGAAGGGTCAACAGCAAACACAACTCAGTAACCACGCAATACAGTACCACTGTTCTTCACTGAATACTGTTTAACTGCAGAGTAAGATCTCCTTCAAAATGCATGCAACTGCATGTGCGTGAGTAAAGAGGCGCAGGACGTAGAGGAAAATCACATATGTGTTTCGATGCTGTATATGCATTGAAGACTTGAAGAATGACATGAATGAGTGTGAACTTCAGCCAGACTTGAACCACATAAGTTGTATACCCAATCTCACCAGTGCAAACTATATAACAAAGAAAAACACTGACTCTCAAGGTTCTCTCACAATGTCCTCTCTCAGGGTTCTTGCTCTCAGTGGGTCGTCTCTCAAGGTTCTCTCAATGTCCCTCTCTCACAAGGTTCTCTCGCAAGGTTGCTTTTGTTTCTCCCTCTCTCAAAACAATGACTGCAAGTTCTCTCCTGCACAGGCTGCGTTTTGCACAAGTTCAAAAACGTCTCCAAACAATCACCTAGTGAAAGAAAAGTATATGCTGTCAATCTCCAAGCACGAACTGTCACAACTCATGTGTGTCAAGGGTTGTTTAACATATGTGTCTCGGGATGCTCGTTTGGAACAAAAAACGCATAGCTGAGAGCGTTCGAAATGTTGATCAAACTTCGAAGTACACCTTCGAAGTTTCAAGTAACCTTCGAAGTTTCGAAGAAGTTTGTTCGAAACTTCCTCGAAGTTTGGTCGATAGTTAAATGTTTAAAACTCCTTTTAGTTAAAATTTGAAAATAGTTAAAACTATAGTTTTAACTATTTCTTACAAATTTAACTTTGTCGAAATACGATTTAGCTAAATTTACTAAATTTAGATATATCCTAGTTTTTTAACTAAGCCGGTCTATTGGGTGGCGCCAAAACGGTCCTGCCTCGTGGGACGCCAATCGCCGCAACTGGGCCCCTGTCTGGAGCCAGTCCAACCATCAGCACTACTCTCCATGGCAGAAAGCTTCTGCCATGGATACCTGCACGCAACGGGGAGTGAGCCCATGGCTGCTGGACAACAGTTCATTTTGTTGAGTTCGACGGTATTGGGTCTGGTCCGTTTGCGTTTCGTCAACTTTTCTGTCAACCGTCCTTGGCCTTAGCTTGGGAAGTTGATGAGTCTTGCATTCGTATCAGTTCTCAGCAGCTACCGTGGTTACGACATAGGGGTGATTTTCTGCTGGATGACATGACTCAAGTTGTTGCTCTCGTTCAGCGTGTTGATCCTGCAGCCATCGCAACAGTTGCAGTGCTCGCCGGCCCTCCTTCTCCGGACAATTCGCGCATGGAGGGTACGGAGGGACGACAATTTGAACAGTTTTGCGCGTGTTGCGCCCAGCTAGAGGGATCTCTTGACAACGCCTTTCAATATCTGGTTGAAAACGTTGTGTTTCAAGCCAAGCGTGAGATACAGCACTTCTCCGAACGATTGCAATGTCAACCATTTCTGGCTGACGCAGCTGATTTCGGAGCAATTTCGAGGCCGCTCCTTTTCTGGACCCGCAAGTCTTGGAACAACCAAGATGTTTATCTTGGCACTGACATTCCGCTGAAATGGTCAAAGGCGACCCATGTTGCGCGGCTTCAGACGGCGTTGGAGCCAGTGGATATACATTGCTTGATTGCGAAAGCTGTTTCCTTGTTCGACAACTCCTGCGCCCGACGGCTTAGGACGGCCTGCCCCCAAGTCAACCAAAGGGAGGCTGGATGAGCGCACAAGGGCGCGGTGGTTGGAAGACAACCGACGATTTGCTCCATGGGTCTACGAAGAACACGCCATGCTTTCTGATGCCTCTGGTCGCTTGCAGGTTCTCCCACCTCTGCTCAAAGAGCGCAGATGACAATTGTCGCCGTCGGTTGTTAGGCAATAGCTGGCATTTGGGCGTCGTACGGTTGTTTCTTTTGTTGATCTTGGTTCCAGCGACTGCAAAGCCGTGGGCGCACCGACCGGTTTCCAGCAAATATCCGGCAGTTCAGCGAATGATAGACTGGGCTCTGGTTGATTGAGTTCCCATCGGTCCCGGGCATTGGTTTGTCGAAGATCCGGTTTTGCCTTGGCGCGAGGACATGAGCCAGCATTGGGAGCTCTCTAAGGGAGCCATCCATCCGGCCCACAGACAGCGCCCGCCCGAACCAGGCCTGTGAAACTTAAGAGTTGCATTAAGGAGGCTCCTTCGTTGAGACAGCAGGTCGTTTCGGAGTTGCAAGAAATGGTCAATGAGTGGGAGGGTTTCACGCAAACATGGATTTCTGGAGCCGTGCCACATGTCCAAGCTGTTTACAAACAAAGCGACTCCCGAATAGCCCAAATCCCATTGTTGTGTCACTTGTTGGAGGGCATGAGAGTCCCTGGACACCAGGCACTCAGGGCTGATTTGGAACAGGGCTTTGAACTCCTTGGCCTGCTGACAGCAGGTTCTGGATGGCAACCGCGGACGGATGGCAAGTACGATTCTGGAGCATCGGCGCATGATTTCCTTGTCGAAAATGAGGCATATATTCACCGGAAGCTGTGGGACCATCGGGTTGATAGGCATTGGTTCGAAATGTTGCAAGAGTTGGCTGAAGAACGCCAGAAGGGTAGGTTGGAAGGTCCACTCGCAGCGCCAGCGTCGTGGCCGAAACGATGCACAGTGGCCGCCGGATATCAACAGTTCCAATCACTCTTGCCAGCGCCGGATGGCCGCCGAGCCACAGCGATTTGCTTCAGTGTTGAGCAGGCCGAAAAAAATACGCAGATGTGAAGATTACAGGAGGGCTTGTCACAATTCCACAAACACTGCCAGCGACACACCTCACCACCACGGAGTGCCTGAATATTGTCGCTGGGTAATGTGGTGGCAAAGACAGGGTTTTGACCCACAGATATGATCGCGTGACTTAAGTGGAGCTTACAGACAGTTTCCGGTTCGCTCACCGGAGTCCACCTACACCGCAGGGCCCACTCTGTGGCGTCACAACGCTTTGGTCTTTGGCAGCGCTGGTTCGGATTGGGGCTTCAACAGGGCCGCGGATGCCTTGAACTGGGCTGCGCAGCAGCTGTTACATAGCCTGCGTTACGTCGATGATTTTGGCGGAGTGGAGCCGCGACAAACTGCAGACAGTGGTTGTGATGCTTTTGAGAGGTTCTTCAGCACATTGGACTTCCAAATGAAAGCCTCCAAAGTGCAACAGGCAGCGTCCCAGCAACAGCTCTTAGGTGTGATAATCACTGTGACGGACACGGGCATCGTTATATCCCCTAGCCCGAATAGGGTTCAGAGGCTTGAAGCAACAATCCAGAGGGTGTTACAATTAGGAGAGCTTCCTCCCAGTGATGCTGCGCAAATTGCTGGGAAAAAAATGACCTTTCTGAACACAAGTCATGCGCCCGGACATGTAGTGGTCTCAAAGCTGTTCTACCAAAAAAAAGTGTTGGGGGGCCGGACCAAGCATTGGAGGGATGCCATCACCCACGGTCTAAAAACGGCTCTTTTGACATTGTGCCAAATCTTGCAATCTGCGCCCCCCAGAAACCTGGAATGGGCAGATCACAGCTTGAACGTCGCAGTGCTGTACGCAGATGCCTTTTTCAAGCAGGGTGACCGACGTTTCCAAGATCAGTTAGAGGCTGGGAGCGCCGGACGTGCGCCAGACTTTGGAAATGGTTGGGGTTTTGTGGCGAGACTCCAAGCCAAGGTTGTGTACGCTGCCGGTCACATCGAGCACTTTTGCAACCGAAAGGCATTCAACTATTTTTTTGAGATTTATGCGCAACTAGTCATGGTCGCAACTCTGGCGCATGAATTGCCGTCACATTGGTTTTCATAGATAATCACGCTGGCAGTTGCGCCCTCCAGAAAGGATGGGGGAAGGAGGATCGCGTCAGCAATCTCTTCGCCGTGTTCTGGTCCGCCGCGGCCAGAAAATCATGGAACCCGCATTTTTGAATGGACACCTAGTAAATGCAACATGTCAGATCCACTTTCTAGACATGATTTCTGCGTCGCTGTGGAGGCGGGCTAGCGCAGGTTGCAACCAAACCTCACTGAATTTCACAAAGTTCTTTACCAAGTTGCGGATGACTTGTCCTTAGCTTGCGCAGAACCAGCTTTGTTGTTTTTGGAGTCGATTCAGCCCGGTGCAGGGTGGTGAAAGGTCACCGGGCGGATGGTGTTTGTGACCTTTTGTTCACCCTTCACCTGGCTGGCCTGTTCTGGCAGAGATCCAACCAACATATTTTCCAAAAAGGAGCGCAGCAGCTGAGGAACGCGAGGAACTTAGTGAAGTTGTCGTGATGTACACTTGTGTATAAAATGACATACTGAGCGAGTGGCGTGAGGCACTTGGCCCAGGAAAACTGCAAGAGCAGCCCGGCCCACCACACCCACAGTGGTGCTGAGGCTCACAATCTCGAGTTTGCAATTCACTCAGGAGCTTTATCGAACCCTTGGAAGTTCGCAGTTGGCGCACCTTCTGTGGTGACAGTTCTGTTAGTAGTACAGCAATTTTTGTTGCCCGTTCGACCAAGAGCTTTTGGCGAAAGTTCTGCGTGCAATGTTTTTTTGGTTGCCCAGTTTGCAAGAGAGCTTTGTTGCGCCCTTCAA